GAAAATGCAGAATATGTTATGACCACAGGGGTTTGAGAGCATACGGGAAGATTTCCACAGAAGACACCCAGCACAAGGTCACTGATGAGTGTGTGTGGGCTGCAATTTTAGTTCACTCACAGTGCAAACACACACACACACACACACACACACACACACACATTTGATCACACTGCCAATTAAACAATTCTTAATTTAAACTCTCTGTTTCTCACAAGTACACACCCACGAACACTTGAAAGGTTGATAAAAAGCAGAAAAGGACACATCATGATGTCATGACCCTCTCCAACCATCCGCTCCAATGGCAGCAAATTGGTTGCTTTCACAGCTCTTCTAACACACTGTCATCAAATTTCAATTTTCCATTTTAATTTCACAACAGTTGTGAGGGAGAACTAGCAGGTCGGTGGCTGTACGAGTCCTCTGTACTGTGTGAATTCAGCCCTGCATTTCACATCAAGAGGCATTTTGACAACTTTGAGTATCTCACTCTCTCATCAGAGGCTGATATACTCTCTTCTAAAAGACTGATGCCTTCTACCGCATTCGTTTTTTGCAGTAATGTCTGTCATTAAAATAGACAAAAGTTATGGAGACACTTACGAACGTGAATGCAAAATGCACCCTGAACTTCTTTTAGCTCAGAGACGTGATCTTGCATAATTGAGTGTGCATAATTTTTCTACAATTGAATACAATTGTTTTCATAAATTTACACAACTACTGTAGAATCTGTATATTATTAAAAGATGATAGATAGATAGATAGATAGATAGATAGATAGATAGATAGATAGATAGATAGATAGATAGATAGATAGATAGATAGATATGGATATTAATATACTTCTATTAATATATTGTAATTTAAATTGTATTAATACATTTTAATAAGTAACATTAATAAATTACAATCATATTAAAATTTGTAAGAAAAAAATTGGGCTGATAGGAATTTAATAAATAAATTAGTAAAACATTTTATTTATAATTTCAACATTATATATAACTTTATTTGTCTACAAAACTAAGTGTAAACATTTTTGGTGCATCAAACATTGTTGAAACTGGTTGGTGCTTATTATTTTTATCTGTGTACATGTTTTTTCTTTCTTAACTCCATAAGCCAAGAGGAACACAGAGAAGGTTCCATTATCAAACATTCACCAGGATCTTGCACTGTCAGAAAGGGCAAAAAAGATGATCAGAACCACTTACAGCTAAACTAATCACAGTTGGGCTTCAACACTGATAAACTGTCCCAGATACACACAACCTAAAGCATCTAAAGATCTGTACCAGTGAACCTGTTAAAACAGATAAAGAAGATAAAGAAAAGGGACTTCTTGTGGTCATTTAGCAGGTTATTTTTCTGTTTGTTGATCTGAATATCAGAGATATTTGCTCAGTTGCTCAGATATGACACTGATATTACTCTTTCCTAAGCAACCTGAATGTGAAAGCACACACTTAAGAATAAAGTCATGCAGTCTTTAGCTCAGCTGTATTACAGTGGTTGTGTTTATATATGTGTGTGTGTGTGTGTGTGTGTGTGTGTGAACATAGCTGATAAAGCATCAAGAGGATTTTCTGTCCCTACTACAGCGCAAGACCTCCTACTGTCCACATTCATGCACACAAAAGAACACATTTCACTGTGTCATTCTGCTTTTCTACAAAGGTTAAAGGGTTAGTTCACCAAAAAATGAAAATTCTGTTATTAATTACTCACCCTTCGTTTATTTTCAGAACACAAATTAAGATATTTTTGATCAAATCCGATGGCTCAGAGAGGCCTCCATTGACAGCAACGCCACCCAAACTTTCGAGATTTATAAAGGTACTAAAGACGTCGTTAAAACAGTCAACGTGACTACAGTGGTTCTACAATAATTTTATGAAGCGACGAGAATACTTTTTGTCCTTATTTGGTTGTTCCTGTTCTCCTTATTAGTTAATCCCCTCATTGTGCTCACCTGTCTGCCCCTCGTTGTCTGCCCTATATCATTTCCTGTCTCTTGTATTCTAGTTTGTCGGTTATTGTTGATGTCTACTCTACCCTTTGTGCTATGTGTGATTACCCTGTCTGGATTACCTGTTGTCTATTTATTAAATATTATTGTATTCGTCATCTTCGTCATCCTGCCTAATCTCTAGAACACCCTGCCCGTGACAATGCTCACTAGGTTTGGAACAGACTTAATAAATGTAATGTAATATAGAATAGAATAGAATGTCTATTTGTCTTATGAATGTGTGTGAATAAAAATGGCTGCCTAAAAATGCTGCCTAGGTAAGCAGCTCACTAGGTTGTGGAAAATAACTTATGTAATACAATTTGTAATGTAATAAAGAATAGAATATCTATTTGTCTTACGACTGTATTTCTATGCTGCCTAAAATGCTGTCTAGGGAGGCAGCTTACAATGTTTTAGAGCTGAGCTTATACATGTAATGTAATATAGAATATTTACCACATTATTGGGGCCAGTTTAATGACACTTTAATTACACAAAGTCACCATAGAAGCATCAGAATTTTAAATTAAAGTGAAGATCTCCCTGAAGTAACCTGAGGTTAAGTTTCTTGCTGAATGACGACAGCTCAAAGACCAGACCTTTCAGGGTTTGAACCTACAACTTTTCAGTTACCAGCCCAGGTTATTAACCCCTGGGTTACGTCCCTTTATGAACGGACACTTCATCAATGGTGCAGCTAGAGGCAAATGATCCATCATCAGTCTCTTTCTCCCAGGGGAATCAGAGGCACACCTGGATGGGCTGTAGAGCTTATGATTAACAGACGTGACTAGACTCCTCTTTGCTTGTGCAACGAGCAAATGAGGAGCTCAATTGGCCCATCAGTGTGCCGAAGCCCTCGTCAGCTCTGATGGAAGCCCACTTCAGTGATCGTGAGTGCTGTGTGATGATTTAGCTACCACTACTACAGACTGCTGTGTCATGCATGCAGCGTTTTGATGCCATGTAGCAGGTTTTCTAACCCACATTTAGCGGAATTCAGATTTCATTTACATTTGCATACATAGCTTGGCCGCAGGCTCTATTTTGCAATAATGACTGGCTGGTTGTAGATTAGCACTATTTAGAAGTTTTTTGCAGAAGAGGCTTAATCTAAAATGACAATTAAAAGGCATGAAATAATACACATGACTTATTCACCACCAGTGAAAGACAGACTACACTTAGTAGCTATAAAGCACAGTTTGAAATTAAATAATGAAATTAATCTTTAGGAAAGTGCACTGTACACGCCATGTGCCCAACTGGGAGACAGTGGGGGAGAATGTGCACAGTTGTGTCTCGTTCTAATCCTGCGGGCGCTCAGCATGCAAGCACCACGGCCCGAAAGAGGGCCAGCGCAGATAAATGAGGGATTGTGGTCGATTGAAAAGAGGACAAACATGACTCTGATAGGATGCACTGAGCACTCTGACGGGGACGAAAAAAGGGCCCATTCACACTCTTCTAACAGAATAATAAGTCACAAACAGAGAGCAGGAAACCAACAGAGAGAAAGAGACTTTGCAGAAAAGAGAAAAACATCATATAAAGTGGCCTCAAACAGATAACCTAAGCCACAGTTACAAACATATGAATTTCATGTGCATTAGATACAAAATATCTAACCAAGAGGCATCTGTAAACAAATTATGCTGGAGCTTTTCTCAGATCTCATTTGACTATTCTGAGCCATTTTATCTGGTCCTAGTTGTTATCACCTATTCAATAACCACCTGTAATCCAGTGTAATCAGGCTCTATCTGCAATGATATAGCACTATATTGAGCCTATTTGAAAAGGTCAGCACTATTCTCACAATTAAATGTGCCAGTATTACCACACATAGAATGCAGGCGGTAAACAGAATTGAGTTCTTAAAAAAAGATGTTTATGAACATTTAATAGCAATCCTGCCAGCAGTAATTAATCAAATGCTGATGAAATGGATATAGACAATTGTGCCGTGCAAACTGTATTCAGCAGTTTTTCAGTGGATATTTGTGCTGTTACATCATTTGTTACATGATATATCTGTATCATTTCTTTTTACGTGCATAAATTGTGGAATATCAATTTTAGTGAATTACCTTCTATACACTGAAAAAATTTGTGTAGAACTTCGAATTTTTAATTAGAAACTGCTAGCAAATTTCACAAATAATTACAAAGAAACTGCAAGTAACATGTTGAATTAAACGTGACATTTTGGAGTAGAAAAAATATATTTTTACATTTTGTAATTTAGAATTATAAATTACAGTTAATATTAATATAATTATATAATACTGAAATATTTTTTTTCTTGTAAAATATACTCCGATAATCTGTTTTATTTACAACTTTACAGTGTATGTTTTGTAATGTTTAATTAACTTACATTTAAAATAATAATAATAATAATAATATTATAATATTATAAATTATAATATAATTATAATAATTAATGAATATAATTTATAATGAATATTAATTTATTACCTAAATAAAAAATGTAAATAAATATTTTGCTTAGTATGCTTCTGAAATTATTATTTTTTTATAAATACCACTTGGTTTGATAATGCAATTACTTTTAAGCTTTTAAGCATGCCTTTTTAATTGTCCAGACACTTTTTGGAACACTACAGCTTGATCTTACTATACTGTAACTGATGATGATAAAAAAAAAAAACTCAGGTTTGAAGAAAGAATGAAAATGAGGGCAGCCTGGGACAATTGCATATCAAAGCATGAAGAAAATTCGCCCGTCGGGCATGTGCATATTTATAATAGCTGGATAATTAAAATGAAGAATGCTTAGTATCTTAGCGTAGATTTAAGACAGTACTGCTCTTGTGTGTGTGCGACTCCCACACACAGATGCAGCGATAGTTACAGCCAGATTATGTTTTATCTAAAAGAGCACCATTAACCTTGAGAGCAGAACAACATAATAGACTCTGTGTGCATGTGTGTTCCTGTATGTGTGTGTGTGTACCTGGGGGCGGATGACTCTCTCGATGTTCCTCAGGGCTGTATCAGGTGAAGGAGGGGAGCAGTCAGGAGTCAGGCCTGTAAAGTCGTCACCATGGTTACCTCGCTCTGCATCACTGACCGACACATGTGAGAAGTGGCCTTCAGAGAGACAAAGTACAGAGAGATTGAGATAGACTGAAATTAAAACCACATGATTCATACATTAAAAACAATAAGCCTGAAGTGAGATCTAGGACAGAATTGGGCAGATAAATGTCTTCCCGCCATTGATTCTAAAGTCATTAGCAAGAAGTCCTACTTAGGGGAAGCAAAAGGGCTTATGGAAAGAAACTAAACGATGCAGAAATTCAATGAAAGCACATCTAGCAATAGTTGGGAAAGACTCTGAAGGAGCCCTGTGTGTCTTCAATGCTAATGAAATGGTTGAACACTGAGCATCTAATTCAGAGCCTTTGCACCATTACCACCATTAACACTCTGAAAGCCAGTGTGTGATACACACAGAATTGAATCACCTCATTGCTTTTTTTTAATTGTGTTTTTGTTTTTAGCATATTTTGCTGCAATATTCTGAGTTATATTTACAAGATTTTGTCAATATGTCAGCTTTTGTCAGTGTCACTTACCATAGAAAATAATTTCAACTCATCCCTTAGTTTGTAAAAATATGTTGCTCTTCAACAAAATCAGACACTAATAAACTCCAACAAGCACCAACAAATACCAATAAACTCCAACAAACACCAACAAATACCATCAAACTCCGGCAAACACCAACAAACTCCATCAGATACCAATAAACTCCAAACAACATCAACAAACTCCATCAGATAGCAATTCATTTCACCCATTATATATACAGTATAAGGAGAGATTCCTTATATGTGTATCAGAGAGCTGTCAAGGCCGCCAAGTCCAAATATCTATATGAGTTTATTGGTGACAACTTACACAGACCTCTTCTCTGTTATTGATTCTGTGCTCAGTCCCCCTGTCAACATTTTTCCTGATGCTTTCATATCACTGTGTGAACAATTCTGTAAATTTTTTAATGAGAAAATCGTTCAATTAAGATCTAACCTGCCCATGGGGAACTCTGTTCAACCTGAGAGATCAAGCGGTCTGATACTGTGGAGCGATTTTCAGCCGGTTTCTTTTGAATCCTGTAAAGGCATTGTTGAACGTCTAAGGCAAGGCAAGGCAAGGCAAGTTTATTTGTATAGCACATTTCATACACAATGGTAATTCAAAGTGCTTTACATAAAATAAAATAAAAACAATAATCACAACAATAAAACAAGGAATTTAAAAACTTTGGAAAAAAAACATTTTTTTTTTATAAAAATTATAAATATTATATAAAAAAAGTTTATATTCAGTGAGCATATCTGCTATATATTTCTAAGATCAATTTCATCTTCTCAAGATATCATTCTATCTAGATTTCTAAAACAGATTTTCAATACCATTAGACATGATCTTTTAACTATTTTCAATACTAGTCTAATTACTGGGGTTGTTACTGACTGCCTAAAAACAGCTACAGTAACTCCATTATTAAAGAGGCCCAATCTTGATTCTCGAATTTGAATAATTTTAGGCCTATATCAAACTCTCCGTTTCTTTCTAAGATTCTTGAGAAAATTGTGTTGACCCAGCTGCAGTCCCATTTGATGTCAAATTATATTTTTGAAAAATTCCAATCAGGTTTTAAGTCTCAACACAGCACAGAAACTTCAACCAACACCAACAAACACCATCAAACTCCAGCAAACACCAACAAACTCCATCAGATACCAATAAACTCCAACCAACAGCAACAAACTCCATCAGATACCAGTAAACTCCAACCAACACCAACAAACTCCATCAGATACCAGTAAACTCCAACCAACACCAACAAACTCCATCAGATAGCAATAAACTCCAACCAAGACCAAAAAATGTCAACAAATTCCATCAGATAGCAATAAATTCCAACAAACACCAACAAACTCCAACCAACACCAACAAACTCCATCAGATTGCAATAAATTCCAACCAACAGTAACAAACTCCATCAGATACCAATAAATTCCACCCAACAGCAACAAACTCCATCAGATACCAATAAATTCCACCCAACATCAACAAATAGCAACAAACTGCATCAGATACCAATAAACTCCAACTAACATCAAAAAATACAAACTCCAATGACACAAACTCCAACAAACTCTAACAAGCTCCATTAAACACCAACAAACTCCAACCAACACAAACAAACACCAACAAACTCAGTCAAACTGGTAAATATGTATTACAATATTTGGTTTATTGTGTAATATATTCAAGATCTCTAAAAATGCTGGGTTGTTTCAACCCAACTTTGGGTCAAATATGGACTAACCCAACTTTTGGGTTAAAAATTTAATGTAAAAATGTAACCCAACGGTTGGGTTAGTCCATATGTGACCCAAAGTTGGGTTGAAACAACCCAGCATTTTTTAGAGTGTACTGTTATCACTTTTGGAGATGTACCAATGTAGTTAAACAATATTCTTGAATTACTTTACAAATTCCATGAAGAATATGGCAATCATTCAGTAGCGTATAAATCAAAACTCAATGGTTTTAACATCTGACACCATTACGGTACAACAATTGTACTTTATAAGGGAAGCTTCACTTGTACAAAGTCATTGTACAAACTTCTGTTGTATTGTTCTCAATCCTGTGAGAAAAAAAGCCTAACAATAAACGTAAAAACAATTGTGTATTAACAATATATGTAATACTGTAAGATCTGATCCCTTAGATCAGTACAACACGCTGTGTGTGTGTTTGCATATGTGTGTTTTGGTTTCAAGACATGTAATCTGAAAATAGCAGGTGTACTGTATATACATTCACACACACACACTGCAGAGTAGGAGTGGGATCGCATTATCATCTGAGCAGGTTTCCCTTGAGTGGGATCACTCTCTGTGAATGAGGGATGAAACAGAGGAAAAGAGAAAGAAAGAGAGCAGAACGAGGTGAAGGGTGGGTTACATCTGAATCCTCCACCAAATTACTGAGAAAAACCCTTCCCATCAATCACACACAGCTCATACTGTGTGAGAGCCATGCTGCTCAGAAACAGTAACAGCATCCCTTTAGGTGCAATCTCTCTTTATCCAGTCCTGCATGAAGGAATGCGGAAAACAGTATGGCATGATTATGTTAGCTCTAAACGAGTGACTACCAAGTGAGTTAATAAGCCCTACGGCATCCATGCGGACAAAATCAGGGATAAATCCAAGCTGCATTTATTTATTCAACACCCTCCTCATCTTCCTTTCCTTCTGTTTTTCAAATCAGTTGACTGCCAACTAAAAGGCAGGAGATGAGCAACAAGATTTGCCATAGCCAAAACACTAGAGACTTAAAGCGAAAAGCTATATAATTTTCCCCTGTATCCCACCAGAAAAAGTTAACAAGTAGGTAATTAGGCAATAAAACACATCACATCCAAGCACGCACATACAGTATATTTACCTAGTTATACATCAGGGACAAAATAGTCCCCAAAGGTGAGAGGGGGGGAATTATTTTCATTTAATCACCTTTATCATCAGGGTCATTGCGACCTTGTATAATTTTCTTCTATTGAACACAAAAGGAATATTTCAAATACTCTTTTTCCATGCAATTATAAAAGTGAGCGGGAGCTTTCAAGCTTCAAAAATGTTTAAAAAGGACCATAAATATATCATAAAGTAGTTCAGATTATAGATTGCTAAGCCATACTATAGTTTTATGTGATTACAGACTGAAACGTAAGTCATTATTCACTGAACATCTTCCCCTTCCCTCCATAATGACTTGTATTTCTATCCACTTGAAGACTTTATAGTGCACAAGTCATAGGGACCACTTTCATGATTTATTTTGCTGATTTTTTTACCTTTTGGAGCAGAAATATTTTTGTATTATTTATATATTATTATAGTATTTATTCATATTTTTAATTAGCTTTTATTTTGTATATTTATATTTTATTTATATCAGACTTCACCTCACTCATATGCAAGTGCTTTAACTGACATATACTCTTGACACTGAAATTGTATGATAAATGATATTCTGTATTCATGGTGAACACCGAGCAGACTAATGAATTACAGAAATACAATTAATTCAGTTGGGTCCACATGGACACAAACTTCTATACACGGCTCGTTTCTTCCCCTCACACACCAGTGTCATGAATACTGACAAGCTCCACTCCTCTAGCATGCAAATGATGACAGAATATTCATGAACTACTAAACTAAGCAGCGTTAATAATTGAAACAAAATGGCAGACTCGATTGTCGCTTGCACACGCCTTTATATTTGTACTTTCTTTATTGACGCCTGTCAGAGTCCCATTTAAAACAATGTTTGCGGCGGATCAAAACACTCGTCCTCGCTGGGGGGATCGTACGAGTGCATGTGAGAAAGGGAGATCCTAACGGAGCTGGTGGGAAAGAGTGTGACTGTCAAAACTGCTCGCAGCTGTTTTTGTGATAACAGCGGGCGGCTCTGTGACTGCGGTAGGAAGCTCCGTGGGGCTTGACCCTGTTGGTAATGGGTAGGAAGCCGGGGATGAACTCGACTTGTGTTTTACTCTTTCAGCCATTAGACATTAACCTCTCTTATCTGCGACACTGAGGGAGAAATGAGGCATGTAGGAGCAATGGGAACACTGAGACTCTTCCGACACAAATGCTAAAAGATTAGCAGGCCATTACTCCAACTGCACAGAAATATGGACATCCAAACATATTATTATGTGCAGTTTTGGTGGCACAACTACCAAATTTAATGATGCAACTGCCAGAGATGCTTGTACTATATTGTACATTTTAGATTGACTGATAGATTTACTGAACGAAACCCTGCCTGGAACGCTTGGTACTTCCAGTGAATATAAAAGTAAATAAAATGAATGATGTATTTATGTTAAATAAAGTAACTTTACTTAAAGTAAGTAAAGTTGAATTTGTGGAATTTATTTATATTTATTTATGCCCTTCATTCACCCCACCACATTTCTGATTAAAATTAAATAAATTGGTGAATTAAATATTATGAGATATATACAGTGGGTACGGAAAGTATTCAGACCCCCTTAAAATTTTCACTCTTAACAATATTGCAGCCATTTGCTAAAATCATTCAAGTTAAGTTTTTTTCCTCATTAATGTACACACAGCACCCCATATTGACAGAAAAACACAGAATTGTTGACATTTTTGCAGATTTATTAAAAAAGAAAAACTGAAATATCACATGGTCCTAAGTATTCAGACCCTTTGCTGTGACACTCATATATTTAACTCAGGTGCTGTCCATTTCTTCTGATCATCCTTGAGATGGTTCTACACCTTCATTTGAATCCAGCTGTGTTTGATTATACTGATTGGACTTGATTAGGAAAGCCACACACCTATCTATATAAGACCTTACAGCTCACAGTGCATGTCAGAGCAAATGAGATTTATGAGGTCAAAGGAACTGCCTGAAGAGCTCAGAGACAGAATTCTGGCAAGGCACAGATCTGGCCAAGGCTACAAAAAAAATTCTGCTGGGGTCTTTCCCAAAAAGACTCATGGCTGTATTAGTTCAAAAGGGTGCTTCTACTAAATACTGAGCAAAGGGTCTGAATACTTAGGACCATGTGATATTTCAGATTTTCTTTTTTAATAAATCTGCATAAATGTCAACAATTCTGTGTTTTTCTGTCAATATGGGGTGCTGTGTGTACATTAATGAGGAAAAAAAATTAACTTAAATGATTTTAGCAAATGGCTGCAATATAACAAAGAGTGAAAAATTTAAGGGGGTCTGAATACTTTCCGTACCCACTGTATATATATATATATATATATACACACACACACAATTTTTTTTATTTTTCACTCACACAGCCACATACAATTTTTAATATTGTATTTATGCCGACTTTGTCTTCTTTCAAACCACCATCACCACCAACTATTTTTTACATATTTGGACAAACACTTAAAAGAAAAACACATAATATGATTTGCTGAGGTATGTTAATGTTGTATAAGATTGAACTGGAGACAGCTGAACTACTGTAACCTGAGGCCACATGGGGGAAAAAAGGCTCATCACATGTGACCGTAATTGAATAAGACTTGATCATTTAAGTAAAAAAATTATAATAATTTTTTAAAAAAGGAAAAGGAAGAAAAGGAGGTGACTGACCAAAGATAGGGACATAGAAGATATAAACAGGAAAAGACACACCAAAGCAGCTGTAACAGGACTTATGCTTGATTCTTTCCACCTAAATCCTATATTTGACAAGCCGTCACTTAATAAATCCTCAGCAAATCCCACACAGTCAGTCTGATCGTGAAACATAACACAATACTACTGCAAAAAAACTGGCTGGAAATGGTTACTTAGATGGTTACTAAAGGACAACAGCCAGTTAACAGAATACTCAGCTAACTAGTGTCCTTCCTTGTTGCCTGTTGAGCTTAAAAGTTATCTTTCATGCTCATGCTCGATGATCTTTTCATTTTTTCATGATCGATGATCTTTTCATCTTTTCATTTTAAACCCATATTGCTTTAGACTTCAGCTTGTGAGCAGCTCTTACCAAACATTTCACAACCGCTTTGTTGGTTGCAAGTCATTATTTACCAGTCATGGTTAACATTCTTGCACAGACTCGTACAGGATATGACCTAGAGAGGTGAACTATGAGCACATATTTCTGTTTCTCTTATTACTTGCACATTGAACTGTGACAGAAATGGCAGGGTCAAAAACTTGATTTAAAGTTAACATGAATTCAAAATGTACTCTAAAAATTTGAATACCTTGAATTCATTTAACCCAACACAGTGATTATCCCGTTAAAACGGTTAGGTGCAAGCATCTCTATTTATCCTCAGATATACCGGTGTGAGTGTTTTGATTGGTCCTGTGCTTTACTGCAGCACGAAACTGCAGTGTTGACTATAATCAGGCAGAGAAAAGAGTCCTGCAAGCTGTGATTTCATGCTTGTGGAGATACCGAGAGGCCAAAAATAGAGCTGGTCAAAATCCACAAATGTTCACGCAAACATCCGCACGAGCACAAACTGAGGGGTAAAGTACAGTAACACAGGAAATAGTTTCAGTAAAACACACACTCTTGCTCATACACATACACACACACAGATGAAGTGAAGTCTTGCTGGACAGTGCCGCTGCATTAATAGAGTGGTCTGAGAGATAAACAGTGACTGCGGCTGCATCAGGTGTGAATCACTGGCCTACAGGCAACACGGCTCACTGCGTCTCCATGACAACTTGCAGGAGGCTCACCAACCTCTCTGGGTAAGGCTAAAGCTGTTTCCACGACAACCCTAACCCTTACCGCAGGAATGATGCCAGAGGAAAGAACTGCAGCAGAGGCTGTAGCATCCCAGCACTACACTCATCTACTTAAACACTACGACAAGAGGAGGGTGCTATGGGGCCCAACGTTCTGTGTTTGTCAAAATATACAGCATGGACAGCTGTTTTGTGATGTATTTATAATATGCTATAAAATAATATGCAATAGGATGCTATATAGTTATAATATAATACAGGGGTGTCAACCTTAGTTCCTGGAGGGCCACTGTCCACTGTCCAACCCTAATTAAATCCACCTAAACCAACTAATGAAGGTATTCAGGATTACTAGAAACAGTATATAGTATAATATAATATAACAGATATAGTATAATATAACATAAAATAACATAACATAACAATACAAAAAGAAATGGGTTGTGAAGCATTTATAGATATTTAGACAATAATAATAATTATTATTATTATTATTATTATTGTATCCACTATAAAATTAGTGGATTAAGAAAAGTTCAAAAATGATTCATAAATATTTATACATTATTGTTATTATAAGTATAATATAAATTATTATTATTATAATTAGCAGTAGCAATAGTAGTATTAAATAACAGATACATATTAATGAATTAATTTGTCAAATCAATTCCCAAAGGATTCAATAAAGTTCTGCCCCTTTTTCCTTATTGAATATTTTGTTTGGCATGGAAATATATCATATTAATGATGAAAAATGTATTGCTAATGACGTTTTATATTTATTGAATGGTGCTGAATTTACAGAGGTGCATGAAGCATTTTTCTGACAGGTATGAATGCTGCTTTAGTGTTGAGATTTTTTACATCAGCTACATTTTTTTTTCATTTTAGCTTTATTTAGTTTTCATATATTTTTATTTAGTTTTTATTGATTTGATTAGTTTTCATTGATTTGAAGCTACTAACCGCTGCGAGGACAGGCGTTGTGGAGATGGATGTCCAGAGAGCAGGGTTTGCGTGTGACAGCTGTAGCAACTGACTCGTAAGGGCTGTCCACATCTTCTGGTAAAAACACATCCAGTGATGGAGAATGGGCAATTTCAGCACATCGCTTGTCCTGCACACAAACAACATAACACAAGTGTCTTTAGACATACAGATAGGCAAAAGATGACTGACAGACAGACAGACAGACAGCTAGACAGATAGACAGATAGACAGATAGATAGATAGATAGATAGATAGATAGATAGATAGATAGATAGATAGATAGATAGATAGATAGATAGATAGATAGATAGATATAATTTTTAAAAATTACCTTTAAAAGGCACCAAGTTTTTTCAAGTGTAAAAGAAACGCTCAGCATTAAACTGAGAGTTTCTCTCTGTGAAGAGAGACAGTTCTGTCTCATGCGCAAAATGACAGGGATAAACACCCACCCATGACACCCTGCTCCATCATCTTCAATGAAACATTGCCATCACCTCCTGCTGCCTGTTTTTCTTCATGGGTGCAACACAGCAGGCATGTGAGGGCAACCATCCCTCAAAGTAAACATAGCACAGGCCACGCTGCCCCCATTGTCATCGCACTTATTTCCCATGAACCCCATCGATTTCTTCTCAGACGACTATTACTCTACCTGTCAGTCCCAAATCCAGCATCACCCAGCAAGCATTAGATACATCCATCATGCACCGGGCACAGGGGCAGAGCGATTTATCACACAGGATTGAAAGAAAGACCTTTGTCTCATTCTCTCACTTTAAGATCAGGTCTTGGTTAAGAGTAAATTAAACACTTCTTCCAAAACTCACTCTCCATACACACTCAGACATAGGTGGTTTAAAACATATATAAACGTGGTTCAGCGTATGGTATGGTTATTCATAAACACAAAGCTAAGTAGCTTCTACTTGTGAATCAAAGGGTTGTGCAAAAAGGAAGCTTACAGCAGTGAGCAGGAGTGGTGCTTGCCAGTGCAAAAGTTGCCTCCATGACACTACATTGCTGTAGGTAGTTGCCAGTGTGTTGCTAGATAGCTGCTATGGTGTTGATTGTCATACCAGGGCATTTCTAGGGTGTTTACTGTGGCTTCTAGGTGGTTAATGAAGTGGTATGGCTAGTTACAAGAACATTGATAGCTGATTGTGAGTGGTGCTTGTTTGTGCGTGTTGCCTCCTTGATGTTAGATTGTTGAGGATAGTTGCTAAGGCATTGCTTACTTTGAGTGTTAAGGCATTGAGCGTTTGTTGTGGTTGTTGTGTTGAGGGTCTTCATTGTGTTCAATAGGGTGTTGCTAAGTGGTTACTAGGGCATTGCCCATGCAGAAGGCATCTCCATTACGAAATGGTGATTTTTATGAGTGGTTGCCAGGGTGTTCTCTGTGGTTATGTTTTACAGCTAGTTTTTTATGTTTAGGGTTAGGAGTGAGTGGTGCTTGCAAAGGTAGCTTCCATGATGTTAGGGTATTCTGAGTGGTTGCTAGGTGGTTGGGAATGTGCCTTCAGATCTTTATCTCATCTTCCATTGCCCCTGTCCATTCAAACTATCTGCACATTTCTCCTCTTTTCCCACTTCCTCTAATGATCGTTTTCCCCTCTCTCTTCACTTGAGCCACACTCAATAGATCTTCAGTCAGGAAGAGCAGAGGCCCTCCAGAGAGCCACACAGAGAAATCAACAGACAGAATAATAGAGAGGTGAGAAAGAGAGAAAGACGGAGAGAGATCAAAGCCGTGTTCACAAGAACTTACTTTTGGACTTTTTCAGTCTTTGTCAGTTTAAATAGCGTGGAGGGGCACGGGAGAGGAGTTGGGCACATGCCGAGGAAAATACTTCGAGAGCAGGAAGGAGGGGAAATGGCCGGGCTTTGAATCAGTGGTTTCCTGCGTTGTACGTTAGCATGCACACGCTTAGACAGGAAACTGGCCACATAGAACAAGAAAAAAAAAACTACAGCAAACTTAAGGATTATAATTCTCCAGTTATACTGCTGACGAACTAATATGACTATGAAGTAATTACTGCTAACACACCCCTTAACCCAGAAGACAACTTTTAGCATTTTTAGAATTGGAAAAATTAAATAAATAATTATTCATTAAACATATATTTAATAAACAACCACGTAAAATAAATAAATACATTCATTAATTAAATAATATTAATATAAGTAATATTATAAATAACAACAATGATGATAATAGCAATACACAATATAGTAACCTTAATAAAATGTTATATAATTAAATAATTAAATACAGAATTTTGATAATTAGGTTCATATTTAAAAAACAATAATACTATTTGTCAAATTTAGACCTCTTGTACGGACAACTTTGTCACCAATCTCTAACTAAGCTCGTACACACACAAAGCATAGACTCCACACTTACGATAAAATATATCAGTACCTGTTTATCTCTTGCAGATCCTGATTTCTTCACAGTGACTGTAAAAATGTCAACTCTTCAGCATACAAACAAAATGGCCCTGCTGCGCCTGACTGTCCAAGGACACTACAGCTCTTGTTCTGTTTCTCTGCCTCTCTCTGAAAGCAGAGACAGGAACTTAATTTTTTTCTCTCTGAATAGGAAGACTACAAAACAAACAGAAGCGGTTCAGGTCAGTAATTAGCGTGCTGATGCAGGGCTGCAGTTGCTGCACTCGGATCCAAATAAAAAATCTACCTGGACGGCCCTCAGTCACGTCTGCGATCTTCAGCTACACATGTGACTGGGGCCTGACAGACTTTACAGCCGGCTTCACTCCTGTATTTCTCCCTTTCTCATTTTCTTCTTTAATCAGCTCTTTTCACTTTGGTTTTCGTCACATTTGTCCAGCGTTTTGTCACTGCTGTTTATCAGTTGATACAGTATCTGATCTGAATGGCCACTGTCATTTCCTGTGCTTTTCTAATCTGAGCTCTGCATATTTTGGAGGAGGACCCCACAGCATAAAAGGCCCTCAGAGACCTTCTCAGAACAGATAGAGGGATTGATATAAAGCAAGAGAGGGAAGATAAGTTTGGTCATGTGCTTTAGAGGAGGGCTTTGCATGCAGAGATGGTACCAGTGGGGGGGAGGAAGTCACAAAAGTTCACTGATACAGACGAGCCTCCGGCTTACACAATTTTGTTGCAATATGCTTCACAGCGAGGCTTCATTATAAACCGAACAAACAATAAGCGCAGAAACGAAGGAACTACAAATAACATCAGCAAGATAAAGTAGCCTGTTCAAGACCATTTTCTCACTAAAGGACTTCCAGCCAAAATAATCTCATTCTGCCTGATATATAATGGTGCGAGAGATGATAGAGAGAGAGAGAAAACAGAGCTGGGGAAGAGAATACAGGGAGAAAAGAGAAAATTAGCAGACAGAAATGGAAATCCCTTAGAAATGACTTCTGACTTTCATAAAAATGCATGACTACTGTTGTTCCCTTCTCCTATTAAACACCTTTACACATTGAGCACCTGCTTCTGATGTAATGAACTCTGGTACACTTTCCTTCAGCACACTGGCTCAATCCAAAGGGATAAGAAAATACAGAAGGGTACATCTGCAGGTCAAATTAACCTTTTGTCACACCTTTTAATGATGATTAGCCTAAGAATATTAACCAGCTTTTATATAAATGTCATCGCTTGAAAAAAATCCCCAGTATATTTGTGGCTGACTATTGTGTTGTAGCATCCTTTGCCAGTCTCTTTATAAAACACTACTTGTCACAATACCCATCAAAACGGCAAGATCCATCATTATTTTGTTCCTTGTGTTTTTGTTGTTTCAGAGTCCTGACATTGTGACAATAAATGGAAAAAAAGTTTGGGCTTTCTAGCAGACTCTATTAAACCACTTGAGTATTACAGATGTCTTTCATGTTTTGACATATTTCCTATTGAAACAAGAAATTGGGGCAAGGCATAATTGAAGGGATTAAAAACAGCCAATGAGATTTAGGTACATTAACTGCATTAATTGTGAACTTTTAAAAGAAAACTAACATACAAATGGTTTCAAAGCTGACAGACATGACATGAAATGACATAAAATAAAGCCGTGGGTGGCTTCAAATCTAACAGGCATAGATTAAAAGCCACAATTTTTATTTCATTGAGTCTGTAATGGCTAAAGCTACATTTAACTTTTTACCTATATTTAGTGTCTGATGAATTATTTTTGCTAAAATTGTTATTAAAATAAACAAAAAAATTAAATACACAATGTTTTCCCACTTGCTAATTACTACAACTAGAGGCATTCTTATTTTAGAGAGCCTCTGATTGGACAAACAATCTGTTTAGTGCAGGATGAGTCATCAGCGGTTTCATTCTGTTTTCCTGGGGGGAAAAAACTGGCACTAATTGTGAACTTTTTAAACAAATAAAATGCGAGAGTGACGAGAAAGTGACAGATAATCTGAAAAAAAAGCAAGACCAGTAGGAAAAAACTAAGCTAGTTAACCACACACACTCACAAAGGGCCAGTAGGGAGACCGGAGGCATTTTGAGATTTGAGCCCTGATGAGAACTTTCTTATGCAGCACAAACCGTCATCATCTTATCACGCACAGCCTGCGAGAAGTTAACATTCATTAGCTGCCCTAATTATCTCTCAGCACCTAGGAGGAAGTGCGGAAACCTTCTCGGTAGATGAAGCCACCGTTGGGGTTCTGAGATTTTAAACATGAGTCACGGATATACAAAAGAGATTATGCCACACTGTGGGAAAGGAGGAGGAGGAGGATGAAGATTAAAACAAATATGACAGAGGAAACATTTAATGCAATCACTCGAGGGAGCCCGCTGCTTTAGAATAACAACAGTCATGGCTTTCCTTTATATTATCACAGTGTAACAAAAGCGCCCGTGTGAGTAATCCAAGCACTCAACAACAATGATTTTCAACGTGGAGATTCAGAGATGACATCAAAGCTCACCAAGAACAGCAGAAGTAGCCGTGGTGGTCGTTCATACAGTTTTAATGCCACACAAAATTGAGCACAAGAGCACAACTGCACTAACAAAACCATTTTGTTGTGCTTGTCGCTTGGTGGTAAATAAATGACTGAAATCACTCTTACAACATCTTTATGTTTGTATAATTCATCCATTAATAAGGCTTTATGAAGGCTGTATATTTATATGCAGTATAACCTATCCTCGCTGTATCTCCTGCATTTGGCTCTAAACGGCTCATAAAATACAAGCAGCCATTTAGGATTCTTGTCCCGGCACTGTTTTCAGAGTGATCTATTAAACACAGCAAGCAGTGGCCCGGCTCGACTCCTAAATCACACTGGGCAGTCAGTGAGAGCCAGGGACGTAAATTTACTCTAATACAAACTCACACACACACACACACACACAAAGCCATTCTGTTCAATTAAAATGGACAATATGCATGAAAAACTTCTCTTCCCAGAGCTATTAATTAGCCATAATTAGTGGCTTTTGTAAGAGCACAAAGTCACCAAGCTGGACAAGACTTACCAAATTGCTCCAGTAAAAGCAATGGAATGCATTCACATTTGGGCATAATAGATGTTTAATGCAAACTGAGGATAACAATAGATTAAATTATCAAGACAACAAGCTGCTTAATTTTTTGTGGAAACACTGATTTTAGATCGAAAGTTTTAAAAGAACTTACTGCAACCTAAAACTTTTCAACAGTAATAAACATTCTTAATATATATAGTATAATAAGAATAAAAAGAATAAAGCAAAAGTTATCAAGTATTACCTGATTTATAATTAAAATGTGATAAAAAGATGTGTCTTTATTTTTTAAATACATATTTAACATCTAAGTAGCAATTTTTGACCTAATCATTGAGAGTAAAAGTTACTAACTACGTTAAGAATTAATGCAAGAATTTTATCAGCATTGCATGATTTTTATTGTCATATATATCTATGCACAAAGAGTCAACACGTGCCATAGCACATATACCTGTATATATTGTGGAGCATTTTGTGGTCATTTACAATTCAAATACATTAAAGTCCCAACCTAGAACAGCTCTTTTCTGGGGCGCTAAAACAATCCAGAAGTGTCACCGCAGAGTGTTTGTTTGTAAACAGTAATTTCATCTGCAGAGAAAACAATTGCAAAGCAGATGCTACTGATGGGAGTGCTTACTCTGATCTGGAATCACAAGACGTTTTCGGCATAAACATTAAAAGCACGTTTGCTGACTGCAGCATCGGGAATAGAGGCGGAAAAAAAACAGTGCGAAAACAAATACAAATGAACAGCTCCGATTTTACATACACAAATACATGACGTAACAGGAAAAGACGAATGGTGAAAACAAGAATGGATAGAAAAATAAAAAGGGGAGGCAGAGGAATGCTGGAGAACAGCTTGAATGAGAAAGCAGGGGCCGATAGCCAGTCTCTCTCTCTCCCTCTATCTCTGGATGTTTTCTCTGGATGTTATTGCGCAGTGCTGTGACGCACCTGTTTTGATGGAGACTCAGATCTGTCTATTGGGAAGTGGGAGGATATCCCACGCCTTGCACTTTATGAATTCTGTGTCTCCTAGCAACTACGAGAACCACTCGGAATCCACGTGCATCTCTCTCCCTGCGGAGGAGAGCCAGTGACGGAGTTCAGGATTGGTTTGCGGGTGCAGAAGTATGACTCGCAGTCCAAGGAACCCCAACTCTTACTGGAGCTGGAGTCTCCCCTCCCCCAGCCTGCTGGCACCTTCACTATGTCTGTTTCCATGGTAGCGGGAGGTCTCCTCACATGGCGCAGGTGGGCGGATCAGCGTGTGACACGATTACACTTCCTGCGGGATAATCAGACTTCCTGTCTAAGGGACGGGAATTCCTCTTGCTCATTCTGGCATTATGAAAGCCTTCTAAACCCTCAATCCAACTATTAACATTTCCTTATCCATCTTTTCAACCACGATCAGAATTAAAGAAAAAAAGAACTTTTTTTTTAGATGCCTAGGAAGTCTTTGAAGACCTTTGTGGTTAATTGGCTAAAGTTTCCATAGCAACATGACACTTCATACAAAGGATGTACCAGTTTTATCGTGCATTTGGCAATGAGAATGAATATAAATATTAAAATCATCACATTTAAAAAGCTCTGATGAGTGAAATAATAGAAAGAGGATGCCATAAACCAATTCAACACTTTGTAGTAAAATATTTTAAAATAAAATGAAAAATACAGAAATTAAGTTTGCATCAAAGTATGCAGATATAGCGGAAAAGTATTCATTGCCCAAATTAAATATTACATTATTTTAATATGAAATATTATATTATTATAGAACATATTTAGATATTAATTGACTGGTTTCAGTATATATTTTTAACATTTTAATATCTTTTACAAATTCGTTATCCACTAAGGGGTCCATTGCTGCATTATAAGGATGGGAAGTGTGAGTGTGTGTACCTGAGAAAAGCCCAGGTTTCTGCAGCCGTTGCAGGGAGTGAGTGCCTCCCACAGGCCTGATGGTCCGCAACTCTTTTCCTCCTCTTCCATCGCCGGGGGCAACGGGGGAGTGGGCCGCTACAGCCGGGTGGAGAGATATGCATACAGTTACACACAGTTAAGAGTAGTACACACAGGTACAGATACAGATCTCAGCTCATTCCAACATGACACAAGCTTAAGATAATAATAAGATAATAATAAGCCTGCATAAGGGGGAGGAGATAGACAACTCCGAGAGAAACGAGTATAAGGGGGGGGATAATTCCAATTATTAGAGGAATTGTAAAATGATACATGGTTTAAATATGTGAGAATAATAGTCTGACTCTCAATGACCCATTCTGACTTTTATACTGAAAAATACTTTTTTTATAACTCCAGAATTCAATATAGAAACACATTCCTAGTGTTAGGCCACAAAAACTGAAATTTTGACCATATCCAAGTATCATATATAAATATGACATCTATTTATTTTATGACACCAGCATGTTAAAAAAAAGATTGTTTGCTGCAAGTATGCAAGGGAAAAATAACTAAATAATTCCTTCGAAACAGACAAAACATTTCAATGTTAATTAGATAATGCTTTGTGACCGGCAGGCAAAATATATGGTCAGTAATTGTTCCCAGAATCCTTTTATAGACTTTGCAAACAACTCCAATCCCTTCAGTGAAGACTTAGGAGTTTTTGACGTGACTGGAATCAACTCGGAAGAGTGTTTGTGTGCATTGTGTCTTTGCTTGTTTATCTGGGCTCTGCAGACTTTGATTGATTGACCCGTCTCCATGTTTAATTGTATTGATCAAAGAAACGCAGTGGAGCAAACCGTGATCCAGTGGTCACTGTGACAGCTAAACCATGACAGCAAATGACCATTCCATTACACACTTTCCTAATGCATTCTGTCCCTTACATAGGGCTAAATTCACTCCCTAAGCCAGCAATGTGATGAAGTCACATCAAAAATATGATTCTGTTTGAGTTAAATAACATCAGTGATTAAATCGGGGACTGTTTTAGTGCTATAATTATGCATTTATGAGATTATGTAAATTGAAGGGAGACCCAGCAATGCACACAGTGTTTAGTCTCTGCTGGCCATAGTGAGGTACTGCATGAACAGAGAACTGCTGTTCATTATTCAAAGCTTATTAGGACTTCTTGTTATTGATGGTCTAACGTTATTGATTTCATTTTCTTGAAAAACAATTTTTTAATATATATATTTAAAGGGGCGTAATCTGATAAAAAACATTTCTTTAACTGCATAAAAACTGTTCAAAATCAGCAAAAAAGCCATTTACTCTACTGCATTTCCTTCTCAATGCACACCTTGTTTATTCGAGTGAGAGTGCTGTTCCGTTCTTCGTCAGACAGCCGCCCACTGCCGAAGCTCTCCATGGACTGAGAGTGAGAAGAGATGGTCTGACACAGCTCCTCAAAGGAGCAATCCTTATCACGGCAGATCTTTATTTCATTCAGCAACTTGGACAACTCCCCTGTTACTGCGTCATCTACAAAGGGAAGAAGAAAGAGAGAGAGGGGGCAAACTATGAATTTAAATGAAAGAAGAGCTGAAGAAAATTTAAGAAAAATTCATATTAATGGATAGCAGTATAGTACATCTTAGCCTGCCACAGTATGAAAGACTTGAATCTGTGTCATGTGATGATCTTCGTCACTAATTTTGGAGCTAATTTAGTCTTATTCTTGATAGTTAAATTCTTATTCTTACTAGTTAAATTCAAATGAAAATTTTTTACACTTATATATTCATGTACATTTTTTTATTTACCTTAACCCTTTTATATATTACCCCCATACTATTATGCAATACAAATGTACTTTTGTTGTTGTTGTCAAACTAGCACAATATAATAAAATAAATTGAAGTTTCAAGTAATTAGGGACTGGACCATACCAAAAGCACATAAAAAATCTCCATAAGAGCTTTTAAATAAACGTTTTTAATGTATCATTCATCACAACATCTGTCTTATTTATTTTTATTCTCTTTGTCTGCTTTTCAATATTTAATCTGGGACAAATGCTTGTTTTCTGGCATGGGCTCAGTGTGCTGATGTGTACTAACAGTCCTTTTGTGGCTGGCAGACTCTCAGATTCACCTGTGATCATTACCAAAATACTGCCCCAGATGGAATCAAAGACACACATCCAGCAGTATTCAGACCACAAAAGGACCAAATGAGACTGCGCTGCACTGCAACAACTGACCACTAGGAGCGCTGCTGACTGCACTTTCTTAATAATGCACATACACTAATCAAACCATCCATTCATTTGTCTCTATTTGTTTTCCTGTTATGAAAAACGTTGCAAAATAAGATTTATTTATTTTTAATTAAGAACATGATGATGAATCGATGAAGGGATTTATGCGTGCAAACTCTGGATTAAACAGTAAAACCTTTGCCAGAGGAAGACAAAGCAGCAGACAATGCGCTGTAATACTTTCACTTGACCACTGGGTGTCGTACTGCACGCTAAAATACATGAAAAACATGTGAGAGAATGAGAATGAGCATTTGGATGAGAGCAAAATAAGATTTATTTATTTTTAATTAAGAACATGATGATGAATAGATGAAGGGATTTATGCGTGCAAACTCTGGATTAAACAGTAAAACCTTTGCCAGAGGAAGACAAAGCAGCAGACAATGCGCTGTAATACTTTCACTTGACCACTGGGTGTCGTACTGCACGCTAAAATACATGAAAAACATGTGAGAGAATGAGAATGAGCATTTGGATGAGCCTGTTTACTTTTGTAAATGAACAATTACATTTAGGTGTTAAAATAGCATTTATACTGTATATGCATTAAGAACTTCGTTTTCATTCAAATATATCTACACATACTTTTATGCCGTAGAGACGGGGAGGGCACAGGTGAGGGTATTGATGTGCGTGGTGTCGGTATTGGACGCTGACGGGTTAAATCTTCGTGAAAATTCCCTTTGTCACAATCCCACATCATAAAATCTAGAGAGAGAGAGATAAATTAATTTACAGAACGCAAACAAGCACAACCACAAACATGCATTGGAGATGTGCCATTGTGCTCAGTTTAACCCTATAAAGCCTACTGTACTATATTTGATACGCAAATGTCTAAGAACCCTAATTTTTAAGAAATTGTCAGCAAGAACAAACTGCTGAAAAACCTGTAGTACACAATCTGTTAAATGCCTCAAGTCATCTGAGTGATAGTTTACACTTTTCAGCAAGTAAAAGGCCTTTTATGGCGCTTTTCCACTGCATGGTACGGCACGGTACGGCTCAGTACGGTTCACTTTTGGGGGATTTTCCACTGGGTACAGTACCTAGTACCTGGTACTTTTTTTAGTACCACCTCGGTTGGGGTTCCAAGTGAACCGTACCGTTACCAAAACGTGACGTGTAAACTCTGCTGATCACGGATTGGCCGGAGAGAATCGTCACTACCTGCGTCACTGAATTTGCGACACAAACACAAAAGAACCGCTAGATTTAAATCAGCACAGCCAGCAAAGGATCGAACGCAACTGTTTTGAACGAGCGCACCTTTTTTGAACAACCAAAAGGTTTTGTTGTCTGTTGTGGAAGAACAGACGTTCCTCTCGTTGATAGCAGAGGAGCGGATCCAGCGAGAGCTTGATGGGGCGACGCGGAATGAAAAAGTTTTTTTAGGAGTCGTGGTATTAGAGGCGGTGCAACTATAACGACATGTGAGTAATCCCGCCCACTCTAATGCGGTACTGAACTGCAGTGGAAACGCAAACCGTGTCGAGCCGAACCGTGCCGTGCCGTACTGAGCCGTACCACGCAGTGGAAAAGCACCATTAGCTTAATTCTAAAAAATGTCTCCTTCAGATTGTGGTACACTTTTTTTAATGTGAAATCTTTACTGATTTTTATAAAATAAACGTACGATTAACTTTTATATTGTTAGTAACATTTCAAGATGGACACTTGCTGAACTGAAGCAAACTTGGGTTTATTTGATGATCCATACACCATTTTTAGAAAAATCATGTTAAAATGTGAAACATGATATATAAGGCTTTTGAGGAACGTTTGTTTGTACATTTCTTAATCATCAGTGTATTGCATTGCATTTTAAATATAATCTTACTAAGACATATTATTGCCCCCTCATGTTCTCCTATATAATACTTAACGGGCCATAAAAGCTTAATGTATCAAATATGATGCTCAACAAAAACACATATGCAAACTTTCATGTTGTTGTTCAATTTTTTTAAATATATAGATTTTTTTTCTGACCATTATTTCATCTGTCAGGTTTTACAGGGTTAAAGAAAAGCACTTTACGTTGGTGAAAACATATGTAATTGTAGCTCTAAACAACTATATGCTGCACAAGCCACATGGTAAACTTGTAAACAACAATAGTTTCTGAGTCCCGTCAAAGACTGTAGATTATAAAACCACAGCAAGCTTGAGTTTGACATTCTTTCACGCAGAGGCAGGGAGGAGAACTGTAATGTTGCCTCTGTGCTGTAGGAGGAAGGGTGATTTGGACTTCACATGTGTCAAAAAGAGACATTTTCGAGCAGTAATAGGAGTCCTCAACTCTCAAGACTGCATTTCACAACCCTCAGAAATGTATAACCCTGGGCATGAAGTAGATGGAAACAACAAGAGAGCTAAAATGAATTTAATTTCAAAGCTGTATTCTTTTATGAGGGTGTGTTTTTGAAAGCAGAGATTGAACAATGGATTCAAACACCAAATGTCTTTTGTGCTGTACGATAAACTCTGCTGGAAAGAATGAGTTTAGTTGGTACATGAAGGAAGATGACAAACAAACTTTAGAATAATCCAAGATGTTATAATACTGAAAATGGCCCAATGTAGTAATAATGTAATTAATAACAATGTAATAAACATGTAATAATTCCTTATCCTCAATTATATCTCATCAAGAAGACACAGTATTGTAAGTATTTGCAGTTGTTGTTTTTTCCGAGAATGCGAGGGAACATGGATTTCTCATACACACTAAACCACCATTGTTCTCAATCTAACACAAACTTCCTGAAACAAACTGTATCAATCTGCAAGCATCCGCCTTCTGATTTCCACCAAGAACACGCTCCCTCATCAGCTTGTGCACGTGTGTGTGAGTGTGAGTGTGCTTGTGTGTGTTTTAAGGGCTTTATTTGCTTTAAAAAAGTTTACATGTGTGCGTGTCTGGAAAATACTTTACCTTGAATGAGAGAAGCAATTTGTTGTGATTTCTGAGATGGATGTTCTCTTAGTATGTCTAGAGCACTTCTTCCTTGGTAATCTCTGATGTTGGCATCAATCCCTGGGGGGGAAAAGTTTTTTTTATTTTCATTTTTAGATTAGCATTAATAAATGTTTTTAATTTGCATCTTGTATATTTTGTGTAATAGCTGCTTCTTGTCTAATTATATGGTTCTTTTTGGCAGAACACAGTGGAATATTAATTTCAATTAGAACATTCAATATTGACTGGAATTAAATTCAGGTCGTTTTCTCTATAATTTTTAGTATTTTATTTTATTTCTGCACATATAAAGTTGATATTTTAACAATAAATCTATATAAGGTATATATATATATATATATATATAATTTATTAATGTAATATAATATTTTATTTATTAATATTAACGCAAAAATATATTAAAACTAAAATAAAAGAGTTGAAACAAATAAAATAAAATGAAAATTATGAAAATTATATAATTGAAGAATCAGGGCTGACTCCTTCCCATAAAACCCTAAAAAAACATGAAAAAAAGACAAACACAAAACTAAACATTTTTCCCAGAATAAAACTTTCCATAATAATAAAACCACAACTGAACAATCACACCGCCCTTTCCCTATGACAGGAAGTTCCCCATTCCCCATTCTCCAATTCCTGTTCCACAGCTGGAACTGACAGAGAAGCTGTTAGGTCACAGGTCACACATGTAGTTTAAACAAACCATGGTCATGCAACCTCCCCATCCTAACACCACACACATACACTTCTGAAAGACATACCTGAGTCAAGCAGTAGCTGAACTACATCCATCTTTCCGAAGAGAGCGGCTTCATGGAGAGCACTTCCTTTATCTGTCTAGAGAGAGAATGATTTTAAGTCAATATTTTAAGCTTAATGCCTCACATAAAGAAGTAAATGGCAGTTATACACTATGGCATCTTTACTACTGCTGCCCTCGCAGTCTATCAGCCGTCTACTGGGGCGACTAGCAGTGTATTTTATATCATGCTCGCTGTGAAGTACTTAACTACACCCAATTTAGCTCTGGAAACATTTATTCAGTGTACTACAATTAACGGCAATAGCGCTGTGAATTTATTAGCCTGACTGATGGGAGCTTGAAAGAGGGAAAGAAACGGGCAAATGAGACCGAACAGCAGTTGAGACAGATCGCGAGAGAGCTTCTTGCACAGCTGAGCATGGTCATTTTAATAGGCCACCGGGAGACCGCACACGATACCCAATCAAATGGGCCCCCATCGGCCTTCATTAGTCCAGAGGCATGAGTACAGCGGCGGCGCTTGCTCTTCTCCCTGAACTATTGGATCTGTGTGATGATGCAATACACTTTAAACAAGAACTAGGGACTTATTACTGTAATACTTAATCCTGCAAAAAAGTTTGAGACACTGTTTTTGTCTGGCAGTGGTACCACAGCATTAATCTGGCTCCTGGACAACAGAGACTCTCCAGAGTCCAAATAGATCACGCTAAGTTTATGTCTTTGTAACATTACCAGGCGTTCTTGCATTCTGTATGTGCTTTTTTAGTGTGTGTACACAATGAATTTCTTTCTTTTTCTTTCTGATTCTGAATGAATGTCTTTGGCTGCTGTATAGTTTCTCTGTTTCTCGCCAATGGGATTGTGGGTGTTTACAAATAAAATTAAAAAAATCTGGGATGTTTGGCAGATAGGAATGCACAATATCTGCTTCAATTTTCAACTTGAAATCAAGTGAGAACACAGCAAATTTCTGAACTGGAACTACTTTTTGGGAAGTTCTCATTGGTCAACAAATGTCTACTACACCAAAGAGTCCTGCTAAATTTTTGGCTGCAAGATGGAGCTCCGTTTTCACACCACCCTGCTATTTTTTATCTATACATCCTGATGCATCATTCCCATTGAAATCAATGTACTAAAGCCAGTCACAAACCAATGCACCACACCATGCCTCATTGTGGATAAGACAACAAAACAACAGGTATTACACACCGGATGCGTCACATTCAGTTCAAGGTAGCTGCCCTAAACCGTGATTCTAATCACCAAACAGGCAAAAGTTCACTTTAAGAATGAAAAAAGTGGAAAAGAATGGAAATTATGAGTTTGAAGTTTGAAAAAACAGACATTATGTACACTTGGATCAATTTAGGGCAAACATAATGGAATTTAATGGAAATTCAATTTAGTGGCGCTCTGTGTCATAGTCCTGCGCCACGGACAGATGCCTAATGCTGTCACTCATTGAAAAACAATGTGTTTGAATTTCAAAGATGCAGTGTTGCGCTTCTTGTCTGGTGTATAATCCCCTTAAAGGTTGTTCACATAGAACATGTTTTTGCATTTCACTGCACTGTTTCGTCATTGTTTTTCTATGTAAACATTTGCTCGATGGACGACTTTGACCATTTCGCTTGTATCTTGTGTTTTTTTCAGCATATGGAGGATGACAAAGTGTTCTAAAAATGCTCTACTTAAGTTAAAAGAAGTTAACATTATTTTAACCACAGTCACATCATGTTTTTAAATGCAAAATCTCATTCTGTGTGTATGGTCATCAGAAGATAAAAGCATTTCAAAAGTTCTGTTTCATTCAGTTGCAGTCGGTCATACTTTTCTCAAACACAAGAACGCATCCTGTGAACACCCAGCAAGTCTGACAGTTCTGGAAAACAACAAATTGAGGCAAATATGGGGTTGAGTAAAAAGAAGACTATGAGTCTACAGTCAGTGCTGGTATACTGTCAGACTATACCTTAAGGAACATTTTGTACCGTATTAACCCATGTGGGGTAATATTAGTACCTTAGGTACTAATATGCATTCTTTAGGGGCTGATAAGGCTCAAAGGTGTATGTTTGAGGGTACTAAAGGAAGCTAAAGGAAAACAATTTTAATGTATGTACTCTCAAGCTTGAATCTAAGTATACAAAAAATGAAACCTTTCATAAAGTTACACCTTCAACATTGATAAGATACTTGCAAAATGAGATCTCATATCCTCTGTGTTTACTTACTCAGAGAAAACACTCTCTAAGACCAAACATAGTTGCAGGTAAGACATTCATTCTTCAACCTGAAGTTAAACTCCAGTCCAGATCACTGAATAGTCAGAATGACTAAAAAGACTTAATCCTGAATGAACGTGGTGAAGACTGAAGAGCACACTGTTCTCCTGATATGTTAAACTCAGAATTCTGTACTGTTCGGGATGAGCAGTGAGTGCGCCCACAACGAGACAGGAAGTGGGGCCCCCCCTCCTTCCTGTGTTTCCCATGGTGATTAGCTATTGATGTCACTAGGAGGAGGACATCGATTCACTCTCACTGTGCTTCCAGGAATTGAGAAGCGGAGACATTTCATTGGTCCAAAATTCAGCTTATCATAACTGCATATTAAATATAAATAAACATATTCGTTCTCATTCACAGTGGACAGACCAAATGGAACGTGTCTGGTTAGGACACTTTGTCGCATTGTGACTATACCGGTTTGATATAGTACTGTATCTCTCCTAGAGACAGAGAGAGAAAGAGGATGGGGAATCCATGCTTTAGATCAAAGCTTCCTCTGATCATTCTCTCTCACACACACAGAACCATTCAAACGCAGACAATCCTCCAGCGTTCCATCACACACACAAACACACACACACACACACACACACACACACACACACTTTCTTTATAGTCTCATATAGTCTTTTATGTCACTGTTTGTTTTCCTGTTATGAAAAACTTAGCAAAACGCGATTTATTTTTAAAATAAGAACATGATGATGAATGGATTAAGTGATGTATGTGTGCAAACACTGGATTAAACAGTAAAACCTTAAGACAAAGCAGCAGACAATATGCTGTAATACTATCACTTGAACACTGGGTGTCGTACTGCACACTAAAATACATGAAACACATGGCAGCAGTCATTCTCTTTAAGAGAATGAGCATGCTTACTTTTGTAAATGAACAATTACATTTAGGTGTTAAAATAGCATATTTATATTTATTAAATGCAATTATTCTGTGATGATTTTATTTGAATGCATTAAGAACTTAGTTTTCATACAAATATATCCCACACACATACTTTTATGCCGTAGAGACGGGGAGGGCACAGGTGAGGGTATTGATGTGCGTGGTGTCGGTATTGGACGCTGACGGGCAAAATCTTCATGAAAATTCCCTTTGTCACAATCCGACATCATATAATCTAGAGAGACAGAGATAAATTAATTTACAGAACACCAACAAACACAATCATAAAAATAAATCGGAGATGCATCATATTTGAAAAGCTCATTTCTAAAACCACTAATTTCTTAACTTCAGATCAAACTTCGATGAAAAACCATCTATTACATGCCTCTTGTCATCTGATTAATAGTTTATGATCTTTCAGCAAGTAAAAGGCCTTTTAGCATCATCCTAAAAATGTATCCTTCAGATTATGGTACACAAACCTTGCTTTTTGAAAAGTAAACATCAGAATAACTTTTAATGCTGTTAGTAATATTTCAAGAAAGACACTGCTGGACTGAAGAAACGTAGGTTTATTTGATTACCCATACATCGTTTTTAGAAAAATCGGTAACACTTTAGTATAGGGACCAATTCTCACTATTAACTAGTTGCTTTTTAGCATGTCTATTATTAACATAGTGGCTGTTTATTAGTACTTATAAAACACATATTCTGCATGATCATATTCTACATTCGTAATCCTACCCAATACCTAAATTTAACAATCTTACTAACTATTAATAAACAGCAAATTAGGAGTTAATGGTTTGTTAATGGCAAGAACTGGACCTTAAAATCAAGTGTGCACGAAAAATCATGTTAAAATGTGAGTATCAAATATAATACATCAGGCTTTTGAGGAACATTTGTTTGTACATTTCTTAATCGTCAGTGTATTGCACTGCATTATAAGTATCATCTTACGAAGGCATATCATTGGGAGATATAGAGTGTTTACTGACATAGAGTCACAACTGATATTTACTAATGTTTATATATATTTATGTAAGTAGTCTGCTATACCATTTAAAAATATCTCATTTATTTACATTCAAAGCTATCAGAATTACTTTTTGGCAATATAAATATTAGCAACTGCACCAAACTGCGTATTTTAGAATAAAACTGAGGTGTTTTTTTTTCACTCCTCGAGTGTACGCTCCATGTTCTCCTATTATATACTTAACGGGCCATAAAAGGCGGATGTATCAAATATGACACAACAAAAAACACATATGCAAACTTTGTTGTTCAATTTAAAAAGTATAGATTTTCTTCTGACCATTATTTCATATGTCAGGTTTTACACATGGGTTAAAGAAAAGCACTTAAAGTTGGTGAAAACCAAAATGTGGCGTCTGTAATTGTAGCGCTAAACAACTATAGGCTGCACAGGCCACATGGTAAACTTGTAAACAATAGTTTCTGAGTCCCGTCAAAAAGACTGTAGATTATAAAAGCACAGCAAGCTTGAGTTTGAAATTCCTTTCACGCTGAGGATTCTGGTTCATTGACCACACAGAAGCAGGGAAGAGAACTGTAATGTTGCCTCTGTCCTTTAGGATGACGGGTGATTTAGACTTCACATGTGTCAAAAAGAGACATTTTCAAGCAGTACCTCAACTCCCAAGACTGCATTTCACAGCCCTCAGAAATGTATAACCCTGGGCATAAAGTGGATGGAAACAGCAAGAGAGCTAAACTGAATTTAATTTCAAAACCAGATAACCACATCATATGCTTTTATGAGGGTGTGTTTTTGAAAGCAGAGATGGAACACTGGATTCAAACACCCAACGTCTTCTGTGCGGTGTGATCAACTCTGCTGGAAAGAATGAGCTTAGTTGAATCAGTAAATGAAGGAAGACAAACAAACTTTAGAATCATCTAGATGTTATAATGCTGCAAATGGCCCAATGTCGTTATAATGTGTATAACAATGTAATAAACCTGTAATAATTGCAAAATCTCACGTATACCTCATCAAGAAGGCACGGTATTCTAAGTATTTGTAGTTGTTTTTTTCTTTTGAGAAATGTGAGGGAACATGGATTTCTCATACACACTAAACGACCATTGTTCTCAATCTAACACAAACTTCCTGAAACAAATTTTATCAATCTGCAAGCATCCGCCTTCTGATTTCCACCAAGAACACGCTCCCTCATCAGCTTGTGCACGTGTGTGTGAGTGTGCTTGTGTGTGTTTTAAGTGCTTTATTTGCTTTAAAAAAAGTTTAAATGTGTGCTTGTCTGGGAAATACTTTACCTTGTATGAGAGAAGCAATTTGTTGTGATTTCTGAGATGGATGTTCTCTTAGAATGTCTAGAGCAGATCTTCCTTGGCAATCTCTGATGTTGGCGTCAATCCCTGAGGAAAAAAGTTTTTGATTTTAATTTTTAGATTAGCTTTAATTAGACATAAATATTCATAAATGTTTTTAATTTGCATGTTGTATATTTTGTATAATAACTACAGTATATTATTTACATTTATATTTATAATATATGATAATATATGTTTAGAATATTTTATTTCTGATAATGCAACAGCACAAAACCAACCATTACATCTGACTATAATGACACAAAACATTTTATCTGAAAATGTCTCATTTATTTCAATTTATTGTTAAAAACAAAAAAAGAACAAAACTGAACAGAAACTTTAAATGTGCAAAATTAAAAAATACTCAATTATAGATAAAAAAAATCAATATTGAATGTTCTGAATTAAATTAATATTCCACTGTGTTCTATAATATTTTATTTATTAAAACAAACACAAAACATGCATAAAAAATAAAACAGTTGAAATGAACTTTAAAAATTGCTTTTGTCTTATGGAAATTATATAACAGAATAATCAGGGCTGACACCTTCCCACAAACCCTCAAAAACATGAAAAAAAACACAAAAATAAACAATTTTCCCAGAATAAAACTTTCCATAACAATAAAACCAGAACAATCACACCACCCTTTCCCTATGACAGGAAGCTCCCCAATCTCCAATTCCTGTTCCACAGCTGGAACTGACAGAGAAGCTGTTAGGTCACAGGTCACACATGTAGTTTAAACAAACCATGGTCATGCAACCTCCCCATCCTAACACCACACACATACACTTCTGAAAGACATACCTGAGTCAAGCAGTAGCTGAACTACATCCATCTTTCCGAAGAGAGCGGCTTCATGGAGAGCACTTCCTTTATCTGTCTAGAGAGAGAATGATTTTAAGTCAATATTTTAAGCTTAATGCCTCACATAAAGAAGTAAATGGCAGTTATACACTATGGCATCTTTACTACTGCTGCCCTCGCAGTCTATCAGCCGTCTACTGGGGCGACTAGCAGTGTATTTTATATCATGCTCGCTGTGAAGTACTTAACTACACCCAATTTAGCTCTGGAAACATTTATTCAGTGTACTACAATTAACGGCAATAGCGCTGTGAATTTATTAGCCTGACTGATGGGAGCTTGAAAGAGGGAAAGAAACGGGCAAATGAGACCGAACAGCAGTTGAGACAGATCGCGAGAGAGCTTCTTGCACAGCTGAGCATGGTCATTTTAATAGGCCACCGGGAGACCGCACACGATACCCAATCAAATGGGCCCCCATCGGCCTTCATTAGTCCAGAGGCATGAGTACAGCGGCGGCGCTTGCTCTTCTCCCTGAACTATTGGATCTGTGTGATGATGCAATACACTTTAAACAAGAACTAGGGACTTATTACTGTAATACTTAATCCTGCAAAAAAGTTTGAGACACTGTTTTTGTCTGGCAGTGGTACCACAGCATTAATCTGGCTCCTGGACAACAGAGACTCTCCAGAGTCCAAATAGATCACGCTAAGTTTATGTCTTTGTAACATTACCAGGCGTTCTTGCATTCTGTATGTGCTTTTTTAGTGTGTGTACACAATGAATTTCTTTCTTTTTCTTTCTGATTCTGAATGAATGTCTTTGGCTGCTGTATAGTTTCTCTGTTTCTCGCCAATGGGATTGTGGGTGTTTACAAATAAAATTAAAAAAATCTGGGATGTTTGGCAGATAGGAATGCACAATATCTGCTTCAATTTTCAACTTGAAATCAAGTGAGAACACAGCAAATTTCTGAACTGGAACTACTTTTTGGGAAGTTCTCATTGGTCAACAAATGTCTACTACACCAAAGAGTCCTGCTAAATTTTTGGCTGCAAGATGGAGCTCCGTTTTCACACCACCCTGCTATTTTTTATCTATACATCCTGATGCATCATTCCCATTGAAATCAATGTACTAAAGCCAGTCACAAACCAATGCACCACACCATGCCTCATTGTGGATAAGACAACAAAACAACAGGTATTACACACCGGATGCGTCACATTCAGTTCAAGGTAGCTGCCCTAAACCGTGATTCTAATCACCAAACAGGCAAAAGTTCACTTTAAGAATGAAAAAAGTGGAAAAGAATGGAAATTATGAGTTTGAAGTTTGAAAAAACAGACATTATGTACACTTGGATCAATTTAGGGCAAACATAATGGAATTTAATGGAAATTCAATTTAGTGGCGCTCTGTGTCATAGTCCTGCGCCACGGACAGATGCCTAATGCTGTCACTCATTGAAAAACAATGTGTTTGAATTTCAAAGATGCAGTGTTGCGCTTCTTGTCTGGTGTATAATCCCCTTAAAGGTTGTTCACATAGAACATGTTTTTGCATTTCACTGCACTGTTTCGTCATTGTTTTTCTATGTAAACATTTGCTCGATGGACGACTTTGACCATTTCGCTTGTATCTTGTGTTTTTTTCAGCATATGGAGGATGACAAAGTGTTCTAAAAATGCTCTACTTAAGTTAAAATAAGTTAACATTATTTTAACCACAGTCACATCATGTTTTTAAATGCAAAATCTCATTCTGTGTGTATGGTCATCAGAAGATAAAAGCATTTCAAAAGTTCTGTTTCATTCAGTTGCAGTCGGTCATACTTTTCTCAAACACAAGGACGCATCCTGTGAACACCCAGCAAGTCTGACAGTTCTGGAAAACAACAAATTGAGGCAAATATGGGGTTGAGTAAAAAGAAGACTATGAGTCTACAGTCAGTGCTGGTATACTGTCAGACTATACCTTAAGGAACATTTTGTACCGTATTAACCCATGTGGGGTAATATTAGTACCTTAGGTACTAATATGCATTCTTTAGGGGCTGATAAGGCTCAAAGGTGTATGTTTGAGGGTACTAAAGGAAGCTAAAGGAAAACAATTTTAATGTATGTACTCTCAAGCTTGAATCTAAGTATACAAAAAATGAAACCTTTCATAAAGTTACACCTTCAACATTGATAAGATACTTGCAAAATGAGATCTCATATCCTCTGTGTTTACTTACTCAGAGAAAACACTCTCTAAGACCAAACATAGTTGCAGGTAAGACATTCATTCTTCAACCTGAAGTTAAACTCCAGTCCAGATCACTGAATAGTCAGAATGACTAAAAAGACTTAATCCTGAATGAACGTGGTGAAGACTGAAGAGCACACTGTTCTCCTGATATGTTAAACTCAGAATTCTGTACTGTTCGGGATGAGCAGTGAGTGCGCCCACAACGAGACAGGAAGTGGGGCCCCCCCTCCTTCCTGTGTTTCCCATGGTGATTAGCTATTGATGTCACTAGGAGGAGGACATCGATTCACTCTCACTGTGCTTCCAGGAATTGAGAAGCGGAGACATTTCATTGGTCCAAAATTCAGCTTATCATAACTGCATATTAAATATAAATAAACATATTCGTTCTCATTCACAGTGGACAGACCAAATGGAACGTGTCTGGTTAGGACACTTTGTCGCATTGTGACTATACCGGTTTGATATAGTACTGTATCTCTCCTAGAGACAGAGAGAGAAAGAGGATGGGGAATCCATGCTTTAGATCAAAGCTTCCTCTGATCATTCTCTCTCACACACACAGAACCATTCAAACGCAGACAATCCTCCAGCGTTCCATCACACACACAAACACACACACACACACACACACACACACACACACACACACAATGCCTCATAAGACAGTTTCCATACAAACAGCTTTATAGCCTGTCATATAAGACAAACACATACCATATAACAAGAAAACACACAAAGCTTTAAAGCTATATTAGTGAGGACCTCTCATACATAGAATTATTCTTTCATACTAACGTAATATTTACTATTCTCTATGCCTAAAACTAACATCCAAACATCCTCACAAGTCATTTTGCATTTATTTTTAAATTAATATTTTAGTTATGATTTTTTTTTTCAATTGAGGACGTCCCCAGATCTCCCGAAATGTTCCCAAAGGGAAGGTTTGTACGATTCAGGTCACTTCGTGGTACAAAATTTGTCCCTAAAGTATAACCAAGTAAACACACACCAGGGTAGCCTGAGGAAACCCTGGACTGAGAACAGAGTGTTCCTCTACTGCGTTTCACTTACTCTCACAGCTAGATTAATTATTCATCCATTTGAGCCCTTAAACCATTCACACACAGTCTCTCTCTCTCTCTCTCTCTCTCTCTCTCTCTCTCACGATTGAGCATGCCAACTGAGACCTAGAGCGAAAAGGTGTGTGTAAAGTGTGTGGAGTTCTAGAGTAAGAAGATGTCCTGCCCACACACACTGACCTGTGTGTTAACGTCCATGTCGGCCTCCAGCAGCACTCGAACGGTAGTGTGATGGCCATTTCGTGCAGCCAGATGTAGAGGTGTGTGCTTGTGTGTATTGCAGCTCATGAGGTTGGGGTGGGCGGTTAGTAGCATGCGGACCACCTGCAGGCGGCCGTACAGGGCGGCCAGGTCCAGCGGCGTTTCTCCTCGACTGTTCCTCATGCTGGGGTCCGTCAGCTCCTGCAGCAAAACACGGACCACCTCGGAGTGACCGTACTGAGCCGCACAATGCAGAGCCGTCTCCTGTTCATGGTTCTACATCAGAAAGGGAGAGACAGCATGTTACTGTAACAGCACTGTAAAGAAATTCCCTCTGAAACATCCATTATCAAAACATGAGATGTCATATAACCCTGACAACTGTCTATCAATCCCTTACTGTCCTAAATAAGTCCCATAATGCATTGCAACTGCCCTAAGGCTATTGTCAGGTTGTTTTCTCACACAATCGGATCCCTCCATTGCATGAATGAAATTCAATGCTATTTAACGATAAGACAAATCAAACACAGCAGGTCAAAACTGATAACGACAAATTATTGAAGGTGAAACATCTGAATGCATTAGCAGATTCATATCGCCGTCATTATCATATAGTGATGAAATTATTAAATTCATTTCATAAAATATCAACTAGTCGACTAAAGGCTTAAATGGTTGACTAGGAAAGACTTTAATCGGGACCAACCCTAGTGTTTTTACTGACCCAAATAAAAAGAGATATGGCTCAGGAATCTCCTTTACTCTAAGTCTTTTCATTGACTGCCAGGGCTTTCAAGTCTGATTGTTTAGAAATGTATTACCACAGCTCTCCCTGCAGGTGGTGTGGGATGATGAGTTAGCGGTTTGTTAAAATCTGTAAACCTACAAGGGTAATAAGAATATAATCTAACAAATTAAACTGGAACTTTGCTTTAACAAACAGCCCATAAGCCAAAGATAACTCAACAGCACCCTCCATTGCCACTACTGCACACCACACTCATTCTCTTGACTCTGTGTGTATGTGTGTGTGGGGGGGTGTTTAGAGGGGTCTTCCAACAAACCCATGAGAGTGAAAAATGTGCAGTCATGTCTGTGGTATGAAGACAGAAGTAGCACTCGTGCAGGTCTGTCAATAAACAAGAGAACTGCAGCGAGCGGCCACTTTAACTGCAATGACTTATTTCAAGCAAATAGGTTCCTTAATTAGCCATACATGATTGAAAATGATGATAAGAGACTCCCAGTCCCTGAAGCAGCACAAAGAAATAGACCTGAAACTGCAGACAGATATCTCTCGCTCTCCCTATCGCTCCCTCTCATACTCTATGCCCTGCCTTCCTTCCTTTAATCTCCCTTTTTTAGCCTTGAACAGCACACACAGAGTAATTTCCTGCATCTATGAGCGCAGCCTCCATCGTGCATCTGTATGTCGGCCAGACAGTGCAATATCCAGAGAGACAGCAGGCCGCTTTCCCACTCCATATTGTTCACGCCCTATTGGTTAATATCCAAGATGGGCTGTCATGATAAAACAACAGAAGAAGCGGCATTCGCATTCAATTAATGAAATGACATATAATAGCAATGGCGTGTCTAAAGCGATCAGCACTTTAAAATGGCACAAAACAAATAATTAAAGTATAAAATATACAAACAGAGCCAACAAAAGTGCTTTGTTCACAGATGAGGACTCCGTGAGTCTCATCTCTTAGTGGAGCACTAAAGCAGATGTACAAACAGACAGTACAGCCCACGGGAGGATAGAGGATGTGTGGAGGAGCACGTTAATCTTGGCTATCCTGTACAATCCAGTGCAGTTTAATGTGGATTTGGTCTTTGAGCCGATATTGTAGAATTAAAGGAATATTCTGGGCTCAATACAAGTTAAGCTCAATTGAGCATTTAATGCTGATTGACGCAAAATCAAATCAAATCAAATAATAAAATAAAAATAGATTCATCCCTTGTTTTCTTAAAAATATAAATTAAAAAAAATAGAAGTTACAGTGAGGCACTTACAGTTAGGTGATTTTTTTTCAAACTGAATCATGTAAAAATCATGTAAACATGAATAATGTTTACATCTCGTGGCTTTACTACTGAAAGTGAGCATTTAAACGTTAACTTCAATTGAAAATGCCTCACTGTAACCGAGATTTTTGCTTTTTTTTCCAAGAAAAGGAGAGACAAATAGAAATAACTTTTTTGTGGTAATCAACATTATATTTCTTTATATGAGCCACCATGCCATTCCAAACACAGGAAACTAGGTCCAAAGGTGACCATCGTACTATAAAACACATGGTTCAACTTATTCTCTCACATATGCTGGTTCGGCTAACGCCGGAAGTGACCTCATACTACTGGCCTGTGCTCAAGAGAGCTGGGTGAGAATGTTAACACGGCGGATCTGACACCGGGACTCACAAACACATCTGGCTAATGCTGTGTGTGTGTGTGTGTGTGTGTATGAGAGAGAGAGAAATAGAGGAATTCAGAGGGCCGTCTCTTGTGGGCTCAGAGGAGCTGGAGTCAGAGAAAATGGTGTAACCTTTCATCCTCCCAACCAGAAAACAAAACATTCCTGAGTAACACACAAAACTAGCCATTTTCTCACACCCCCTCTCTCTCAAACACATACAGACTCATCCACTAAGGATCTATGTCCATATGCTAAAACACACAAATGTTAGCTATTTAAACACTTCCTATTGAATTTGAACATACAAGTATTTTTTAATATATTCAAAATTTGGGGTCAATAAGAATTTTTATTGAATCCTCTAATAGCTTTAATATAAAATTAATCTAACTGCTACAGAATAACCATACCTAATTTAACTTATTTACTTTTTCCAAATAAGGACATCCCTTTCATCAGATTTGGCTTACCTCTGTTGCCAGATTTGTCCCCAAAGTATAGTAAACACACACTCACACAGAGGCCTTTCTCATTCCATTTCATTCCAGCATTTGCCTCTCTGTAATAGGTCAGTCAATAAATCTGGCATCAATCTACAAATGGACACACCAACAGCTTCTTTATATGAATTTAAACAAAGCAAAACTCTGTCTACTGCATTTATTAGCATACAAATTCAACTTTTGTGTTTGAAAAGACAAAATAGTAGGCACTTGGAAAGACATGAGGGTGAGTAAATGCTGACAGAACTTTAATTTTTGGGTGAACAATCCTTTCAAGAACCTGTTCAATTAGCTGAGTGATACAAGTAAGTACTCTTCAAGTAAATTAGCAGAGACTTCCCTTAATATACGGTCATATGCTGTAAAATGGGCCTGTCACAGACAGTCATGTTATTTTCTGTGCAAATGCAGATCTCTTACGTACCTGCAGGTACGTTTGACGCGGATCTTCAATATGAACGTGGCAGAAATGCATTCAGTGTTCAGATTGATTTTATGTCCTTTCAGATGAAAGAATGATAAATGGAAGCTCTCCGCTTTTATTGCATATATTTACAGATCTGGACGACACAGAGGCTTAAACAAATATTCATACATAGAATCTATAGATACACACACCCCAATCTTTCAATACAGAACACAATTTCACAAAACTTGACATTCCTTATTGGAGGGTTTACAACCCTTGTGTGTGTTTGTGTTAGCATTAAAACTATCAAACACTAGCTGGAAATCATGGGGCTATAAACAGCCTCTACATAGCAGTGCTGAAATAATAGCATACCCTCTGACACAAAATATATGAATATTATACTCGGATATGAGTAATGTCCAAGTCATAAAGAGCTCAGCATCCCACACTGCAGTGTAATATACGCCGTAATGTCCGTGCCGCCGGCTGTGTGTGTGTCCAGGTCTATGTATCATCACTATTGCATTGCTTATTGCTCGTAAAGTGCTGCACATATCCATTTAGAGAAATGGATGTAAAATGGAGTGAAAGTAAAAATGTTATCAGTCAGGATTATGCAGCATTCATAACTGACTTGAGAAGGCCCAATCCAATTAATTTCCTAAAATTTAGTTGAATTCAACATTCCTTTCATGAATTGAAAACTCAAAAACAGACCCTAATCGTTATTAACAGACTACTGACAGTGTAAATGAATGCCATAAACTGTCTTTGTCTCTCCAAAACGCACTCATGCCGGCGGTGAAGGTCTATCCATCAAGCTGATGGTTTAGTGAGTTGAGGAGGGCTGAAGATTGGACGTAATTGTTTCTCCGGCTTGTTTGGTCATTAAGAGTGAGGCAGATGGCAGGAGAGAGAGCAGCACTCTTCCCTGCAATGAGACAGCATTTTAACTGCAGGTAAATACAGGCCTTTCACAGAGCTGCTCTGATTCTGCTCAACAAACCCTCCATCAGCCCATCAACACGCTGAGATGCGGGGAACAGGTCTGAAACCGTCAAAAACCTGTTAAGAGTGTGTATGTGTTCTTTCTCAAATGCATGGTTGACTGTGTACAGATGTCTCATGTGTTAGTAAATGTGTACTATTAAAAGCACACTAGTGTAAAGTGCTCATTAGCGCTCAATACTAGTGCTTGTTATTACTCAGGTTTGAACAAACCCCTAAAAGTTCAGCTCATTCTCCACCATTTCGGACATAGATGATACCTTAAATTCTGGCGTTTGTTTTAGGGAAATGTGGGCAATTAATTTTCAGATGTACCATTTTCATCTGCCACATGATGTGTGAAAATATCCCACTGACTTACTGACTTAAGAAGAAACCCAAGTCGTACCTGAAAAACAAACTGAAAAAAACTGAATATTTTTACAGATTTGGGGGTGGCCATGTAAGAAACCACCTAGCAACCACACAGAATTCCTTAGCAACCACCTAGCTGACAAACACACAAGAAAATTCAGTTCACCCATTGAAACAAGTCCAACAAGTCCGCCTAAGGCCCAAAGCAAATCTAACCTTAACTAACTTGTTAGTTAATGTTAGTTGATGCATTAATTATAATTAACTAATCAGAACTTATGGTACAGTGTTACCAAATTACTTGATGAAGTAGTTTAGTTCAAATTGAGTTATTAATGCAACCATGGATGTCTTTGGTTACATATAAATCTATTACCAAAGCTACGGATTGTAAAATTAAACATTTGTGATTTGTTTTTGTTTTGTTTTTTTAGCTTACATTTTGCTCAGCATTAATTTAGCATACTGCTATCACAACATGCTAGCTTAGCCAATACTGCATCTCGTGGAAGAGGAATGGTTAAGGATTTTCAGGTTATGAATAAAGATTACGAAGACAAACATCTTTTTCTCTGGATTTATTTGCACAGATTAATTGTTCACCACAGAACTAGTGATGTGTGTTAAAGTCAGTTTGTGACTTTAAGGTTTTAGTGTAACTGACTTGCACTGGGTATTGGCTAAGTTAGCATGATATGCAAATGTTATGATAAGATGAGGGGTAAGCTTACAAATAGTACATTTGCTCTAAGGGTGTGTGTGTGTACCTGCTCATTAACTCTGCTGTGGGACGGCCCGTGGTGGATCAGTATCTGGACTATGTCCACGTCACCTCTCCATGCGGCCAGATGCAGAGGAAAACAGCCCTTACTGTCTGCCACATTAGTAGAGGCTTCAAACTGCAACAACTTCAACACCACGTCCCTGAGAGAAAGACAAATAAGAAAGATTTCATGTAATTGTGAGACCAATTTTCATTCTTATATACCAAAAATATCATAAATCTTCTTTGGTACTATTTAACTTCTTAAAGCTTTTTGCAGGAACAATATGAACGGGATAATTGTGCTCTATTCCTAATACATAATTCAAGTTACATAAAATCCCTCTCCTACTCTGGCCTCATTCTTATGACAAACGTTTAAACCACCCAAAAACCCTGAATCTAATTCCATCCTGCTTTAAAAAAAATCTGACTAATCTGACACCGCCTCATCCCATAAACCCCTCATTAACTGAATATAACGCCACCCACCTCATATACCTCACACTAATCTGGCTGTATCGAGATTCACAAACCCCGCCCTAATCTGACCCCACCCCTAGTTCATAAACCCGCCCTAATCTGACATCACAGTCTTCTGATTCTTATGTATGTGAGCTAAATTACGCCTCTATAAAGTAATCCTGATGTCTAGCTCTTTCCCTTTTTAAGTCTATAACACCACGTTAGGAGAGACTGAAGTGTGCGAAAGCGTAAGCTCATTCATTTGATTTAGCACCCATTAACTTACATCTTAATGCAGTTATTCACTTTTCGAGAACCTGTAAATGAATTGGAGAATATGAGTGTTACCTGTGTCCGTTCAGAGATGCGTGGTGCAGAGGTGTGTATCCTGAGCCGTCAGCACAGTTCACATTGACGCCTCTCCACATACTGCAGAGGAGAAGAGAAGATCAATCAGTACAGCTCTGTAACAAGACATCAGTACAAAACTACTAAACACCTACAACAAAACCATATACAGCAGATATACAGAGTTATTTCTGTACAGGGTTGATCAGCTGACACAGCAGAGTTTGAGTACACCACACTCATGCCAAGATTGCTATGGGAATCTCCTGCTTCTCACGATCTTCACAGGACCTTTAATGCTGCTTAGAGAACACACAGACACATTTACCTAAAAATCTAAATGGGGAAATAACACAGATCAAGGGTTTTCACTTTTTGTTGCCAAGAACCCCCAAATACGATAAAATTGTGAAATAAAAACATCTACTTATATTAGTACAAACTATTCCTAAATGAATGTCACAAAATAAGGAGAGATTCCATTAAAAAATATGTTAATTTGTTTGTTATATTTCTGTTATTATCATCATCAGATTATTTTTATTTTTATTTCTATTTGTATTTCTACTTTTTTTAAAGCAAGGGCTATAAAATCAAATATCAAATTCTATTATCAGAAATTTGTTACAAATATTACATTAAATATAATTAATATAATAATACTTAATAAAAACTATGACAGCCCTAATAATATATTTTTTGATTATTTACAAATCTGTTTTCCAACTGAGGGTGTTCATGAATGTCGTGATAGGTTTTGTCAGATTTAGTTCAATTTTTATCCATTTTAATCCCCAAACTATGGACGCGCAGTAAGGTGTTGCATATTTTCTTGCAAATAAATAAATAATCATACGGTGATGGCAGAAAAACATAATTTATTATCCAGTAAATATTTTTTGACAAACTTAATTTATTCTCCAATTCAAGAATAAACCGAAAGCACACTGGTTTCACACTCTGAGAATGTATTTCAAGATTAATTTATAGTTTAATCAAGGCAGAGGAACACTTTTAGATACTTTCTCTCTATTTCACAAGTGTTAATGCCTGAGAATAGTTGCAGCTGAAGTCCATAACTAGAACATGAGCAGTCAATAGCACTGATGTCTAGACTGATAAGAAGACATGAGGAGGACTAAGGCCACAACCTGCCATATGACTCACAGCATGACTGGCCAATCACAGGACAACAGGAAACACACACACACACACAGTGTCCAATAGACATTACAATGGTCTGCAGAAACAACATTACACAGAGGAGCATGAGAAAACTTCTTAACCTAAATCAAAGGACAACAGCTAATAGTGTGTGAGACTATGAGAGAGACCAGAGTTATCGGGACCCTTTAAAGGAATATTTTGATTTCAGTATAACTCAACATAGAAAAACATTCTGACTCATCGCTCACAATATTTTATCTATTAATCAATATTTAATGATGCAAATATCATAAATTATGAATTCATTAATAAACAAGTTGGGGGAGGGGACGGTCAGACCGTGTGACATTTTACAATCTGAACTAATCTTGCCATGTCATATTTTAAGAGACTTCAGGGGTCCTCTCTATGATATAATTTCCTGTAATTTAGGTATTTATTTATTTATTTGTGGTTGCACTACATGACTTTGATTTGGCAGGCAAATGGATTTAGCTCATTAAGCAATGAAGCAAAATAAATAATAATAGAAGATTATGCAAAACTACACCAAAAGTTAAACTTCGGTAATATATATATTACAATTTAAATGTATATATATTTGACAATTTAAAATAACAATCTAACAATTTTAAAGTAACTGTTTTCTATTTTAATAAATTTTTAAATGACAAAGCTGAATTCTGAATTTTCAGCATCCATTACTCCAGTATTCAGTGTCACATGATCCTTCAGAAATCATTTTAATATGCTGATATGCTCCCCAAGAAACATTTCATATTATTATCAATGTTGAAAACAGCTGTCTTGCTTATTATTTTTTTTCTCATCTTTGATGAATAGAAAGTTCAAAAGATTTTGAAATAGAAATATTGTAACATCAAAAAAGCCTTTACTGTTACTTTTTAATGCATCCTTGCTATATAAAAGCAACTTTTTTCCCAAACTTTTGAAGTTCTGAGAATGTTTTAAGACAGTCGTTTGATATTTTTGACTTTATGACAAAAAGTAATAAATAAACATCATTGGCCCTTTACTGCAAGTGTGATTCGGTTTGATTTGATCAATTACGTGATCATCAGTCAAATTATTTTCTGGTAGGCTAATTGACAGAAGTCGCCATTAGATCTGAACTTACACTGATCCCAAAACATTCTTTAAACATCAAGCATACAAAGCAAGTACTCAAGCACAGACACAATCAAACATCATTTGCACTCAACCTGAGAGACTGTCAATCAAACGATAAGCGAAAACCCTGTTTCCTAACTGGCTTTCATTCCACACATACCAGATGAGCATATCACTTACTCTCAGATAACAAGCATTTTAGCATTTGTTTTTCGTGCAACCGTTGTGCAGCCATACATCTCAAAGTAACAACAGAGAAGGTTCAAAATGAGTAAGTTAACAGCATTAGATCGAGCTGCAAAACAAGGCCAATTCTCAACAGATTAGGCAACTATGCAGAATATTTCCTCCACATATTAAGCATCAAACTATGTCAAATGTTAATTCCCTTCGCATTCAGCAGAGGTCATGGTCTGCAATAGTGCGAATGTGATGTGGCTGGATGAACGTCTCACGTTGATAATTCTGGTGAGACAGAAGGTTTAAGATAAAAGCATAATATTGTGAAAAATGGGAATGAAATCTGAGCATCAGCTCAGAGCAAGGGAAAGCCCTGCCTTTACTGCAAGCCTGTGACTCATCCTGTGTGTGGAGAGCACCAGGGTGCTGCACTGCATACAGTATATCAGTATTGCCCAACCTGCCACACACACACACACACACCCATGCACACAGCAGCGCAGAACTAATTGGCTCGGCTACACACTCTGGAATCTTGAGTAGTTGGAAGCGCATGAGGGAGGGTTACTGAAGAGGAGGATATGAATAGACGTGGAGAATGAAAGAGAGAGAGAGAGAGATGCTCAAATAAACTCCAACTGAGCATCAACAATTTCTCTCTAGACACGCCGTTACAAAAACAAACTTAAAATATCTCACACTGGCAAACCACACTAAAACACTATGCATTCTTTTACTTACACACACACACACACACACACAAAAGCTAGATTTATACACTCACACTACTGTTAAAGGTTGAATTTTTTTGGTAAACGAATTCTATCATGCTCACCAACGCAGCAGTCCTATTGTAATATATTATTACAGTTTATAAAAAGAAGTTTTCTATTTATATATATTTTAAAATGTATTTTGTGAGGACAAAACTACATTCCATGACAAAGTAATTTGTTCAACAGCAATTACTCCAGTTTTCTGTTTCACGTGATCCTAATGTGCTTATTTTCTTGGTGCTCAAGAAACTGTTTACTACACAGTGAATGCATTATAGTTCCCTATATGAGGAAAAAGTGACTGAAACTGAAAAGAGTGTAGTTGGACATAAATACACAGATGATATTTGTATGACATTAACAAACAGGTTGCATCCTGAACGAAGAAAAAAATCTTCCTGGCAATCAAATCTTAACATTTAAACTGAAATGCATTTCAGATTTAATCAGATTTAAAACCACATCTGGATAACATTATAAGCACTGGATTCCATGTAGTTTCTTGCTGTTCAGAAAACCTGCTGACACAGATTTGATGTCCCAAACGATGTACTATACACTGTGTGCTTATGCTATGTATGAATCTAGTGTATGAAGTGGAGAAGAGCAGCATCACCTCAAACTGAACAAGCATTCAACATTTTCCAGTCAGCCTCATTAGCATATTTCGCCTCTACTCTTCTACCATTAACTGAAAGCTATGACTGTTGAGGGTATGGAGTGCACTATCCAACATTCAAAATGTTGTTTTTTAGTACGTCGTCTGGATACATAATAGTGCACTAAGCCTATTTTTCAGTGTTAACACAATGCTCACACTACTACACTGAAAAAAACAATAAGTAGATTTACTTAATTTTTATTTTGCAAGTTTTTGCACACATCAATTTTAAGTAAAATTTAAGTATTGAATTAAGTAAAATCTACTCAACTAAGTTAGGTAAATTTAGCAAAGGATATAAGTAAATTTAACATGGCCAGTTAAGAGTCTGATGAAAAATTTCTACTTAATTATTTTGTTAAATATGCAATACTCAAGCACATTTCCCTCAGTTACAGTTTATAAAATGTACTCAAACAATGTAGCACTGGTAAACATCCATGCTATTAAAGCACGTGGTTTATGGCTTGTTAACCTTTGAATATAATATGTCCACTCAAAAGAATTATTATCCAAATGAACACAGAGACCTCAATACTTGGTACATCATACACAATGACGGTAACAATCAGTGGCTAGTGTTTGAGTATAAATGGGTCATTTTGAGTAGAAAATTAACTTCAGATATCACAAAACAGTAAGTTACTAAACCTAACGACAAAATCAACCATAAAACAGTGTAAATACAACTCGAAAACAGTTAAAATTTAACCTTTTTAATTATTCATGCCCCAGTGCATGATGGGAAAAACGGGATCATAACTTTGATATTTACTTAATGAATCCTTGTAAACATAATAAACAATTCCAAGTAAAATATGTTTATAATTTCAAACTTTAATTTCTACAAGCTTAAATTGAGTAGTAATATAAAATGTACTTTATTTTTTTAATTCTTGCCTTAACTAAATTATTTAATGTAGAAATTACATTTGTTTTTATGTAGTATTTACTTCACCACAAAATTATTTGTATTAGTGTAGGCAAAAAATTGTGAAGAATAGTGCAGATAAATCACACAATTTGCTTATCAATGCTGACAGTGCACGACATGTTTAGGCACTGTCACATGTACCATTGTTCACATTTGTACCGAATGTTTGCAGACAAATTGTGAATTTCACTAAAGATTTTCCCACACAGATTTTGCAACAGGTTCAAGTTGG